TTATAGAGAAAATCATTGAGTTCAGATTTACGAAATACAATTTGGGCTAAAGGTTTATCTTGTTTACGTACTAATTTTAAAATGATTTGCATGAAATTTTCAAAAGGAAATGCTGAAAAATTAAATAATGGACCGAATTTAGTAAAATCTGCATGGAGGTGCAGAAGATTATGAATGTTATGGGAACAGTGTTCTTGGCCATAAAGAAGACTAAAAGTATGGACAAAATATTCCAGTAATTCACTTGCATAGTTTGTTAATTCTGTGGAAGCACTTGGACTGGAAAGGATGTATATTGATACATGGAGAGACAAGAAATTTAAATATTTATCTTTTGTCAAAATATCTTTTAAAACGAGGGGGCCAGTGTAAATTAAAAATTGGTAAAACTCTGTGGCTTTCCATCTCTTACATTCCATCATAGACCGTGGCTTTCTATTAAATTCAGCCGGAATGCAATATTTTAAATCACATAATTTTTTTGAAATGTTTGAAATTTCACGGAAAGATAGCTTAATTGAAGGAGCGCCATTGCACCAAAGTGTAACTATGAGTTTTTTAACTACACCCAAGTAAACTAAATGCATAGGATCTAAAACAAAATCATCTATCATATTTAAACTAGGTATTTTTTCCAAAATACTAGCCCCCAAGTGATGTTCTTCTTGAGTTTTCTGTCTAAATTTATAGTTATTTCTTAAAACCAAGTTATTAACATTTGGAAAGCAAACTCTATTTTGTATAAATACCCCTTCAATCTCACACTTAGAGCATGAGTAGTATCCATTATGCCCCTTAGTAGAAGTGATAAAGGCCTTTGCCGGTACATCTACAATGAATGCTTTAATTGTAAACTGATACTTCTGATCATTAATTATAATACCCTGTTCTGAAAATTTATTCACTTCCTCCACAAAGTCTTTAAGAAATTCGTTCACATTTTTGGGTTTTTCATTTCCATGGTAAATACCTATTATGTCAACTACATTTCTATTTTGCACTAGTGAGCAAAGTATTGGATAAAACTGAGATCCAGAACTTTTTGATAGTGGAAGTCCATCAATATTAACATAAATCTCAATTTTGTCTATAGGCTTGTTTTTAATACAACAAAATAGGTTCTTAATACATTTTTCTAGGCCGAAATGGAAATATTGTCCAGGAAAAACAATTTTATATTCCAAATTTCTAGGTGTATGTAGTAAACTTCTGGCATCAAGGGGCAATTCATTAAAAGTTGGTTTCAATCGTTTTAATAAATCAGACAATGCAATATGAGATATGTTGAATTTTAAAGCCCACTCTGTTAATTCCGAAGTGATATCTTTTTTTTTTGTAATATTGTCACTGACTCCTAAATTTTGGACAACATTGGAAATTGAATCTTCTAAATCTGAAAAAGGTGAGGGTGAAACTGGGGGTGAAAGGGAAATATTGATATTTAATTCTTTATTGCCATCAAGATCAGGAGGATCTGCCCCGGGATCTGCTAACGTTAAGTCATTATTGAAATTCTCAGAAGCTACCATGAGTGGTGTGGCGTGTATATTCACATTATTGCGAGCATTATTGTCAGCTTGGAAATTATTACTTAAGTAAACATCAGAAGAAACATTATTTTCTTGATTATTATTAGTTCCACATATATTTTCCAAACTCATATCACTATGCAATTTTGCTTTTCTATATTTTGATCTGGAAAGTTTAGGCATTTTATTTGAAAAGTGAGTTGAAAAGTCAAGTAATCATCTAAATACTGTTTCACTGCTATCTATAAATCTATAATCTCATCAAATAACAGTGTTTTCCAACCTAAAAACAAAAAAGATCTATATCAGAAAATAGGTAGTACCTATGAATAATTTTAATTTTCTCACTAATTATGTATTCACCAAAATAAAAGTTAGAACAGTACCCAAATCTATAGACAGCTCGACTGTAATTTTTTTTTTTTCAAAAAAACTATTAGATTGATATTTGAGGTTGTATCAAGGTATAACTTAGGTCTCATCTATAAATATACCTACTCTTCATCTAGCAAATAAGTAAATTATAAAACGGGCTACGACCAAAAAAATTTGCCTTTTTTTTTAGATGAAATATTCATAGCAAAAAATCATAAATCATAAATAATGAACCAAAAATATTTTCATGTTTTGATAATAATTTATTGACGCCATATTGACTGGGTTTCAAAATTTATTGACACATTATGGTTAGATTTTACGATTTCTTTCTAATTTTGTGATAAGCAGAAATAATTAGGTAGGTATATCTATTAATTTCTTACCTGATGGGTGATTGATCCAACAACATCCAACACTGCAACACGACAAAACTTTTGCGAAAAAAATAAATAAAACGATAGCGTCCTGCTCCCCGGGGTCACTGGTTTCAATGGAAATGGTGGCGTTGTGTTGTGTGCGGTGACTATGTACTACAACACTACACCTACAGATTAATTACTAGAGGAACGTTCTTCAAACGATAATTCTGATTTTCTGAAAGGCGGAAACGAACAACTACCTGTTTTTTGGCAATTTTTAAAGTAGAATAATTCCGTTGTTGCGTACGAATACAGCGGTAGAGTGTATCGTTCAAGCAGGCAGCAGCATGAAGGAGTAATGGCTGCTGCTGGAGTGCTGGCTGGCCGCGCAGATGGCGAAACGCAAGATGCCGCGCCCTGATTGGCTGGCGCTCGGTCACGTTAACTTCTATCCCTTTTAATTGGGTGACTCCGTAGCGCTCCTATTGACTGTACCACTGTACTATCGACTAATTTCTTAGACAGAATTTCACAAATGGACCACTAATACCTACCTACCACAACTTATTAATAAATTAAATATTTGAAAATTCATTTTTGATTGTATATAAGTACTTCACTAAATAGTTATCCACTAGAAAGTCATTGGACATCCCAGGAGCATGCATCACAAAATTATTTCGATTTATAGGTTCATTTATGGACACTGAATGGATTTCCAATGGATATCCATTCCTGGCAGTTCAGTAATTGTCCAAAAAAAAAGTCCACTGGATGTCCATTTCAAGACCATGATATTTATTTACATTTGTGGACATTAAATGGAATTCCAATGGATATCCGTTCCTTTCTGTCCATTTAATGTCTAAAAAATATAGTCCAATGGATGTCCAGTTTGTGACCATGATTTTTATATACATTTGTGGACGATAAATGGATTTCCAGAGGATATCCGTTTCTTGTGGTTCAGTTTTTGTCCAGAAAATATAGTCCATTAGATGTCCAGTTTATGACCACGATTTTTAGAAACATTTGTGGACACTTAATGGATTTCCATTGGATATCCGTTTCTGGCTGTTATCAGTTATTGTCCAAAAAATATAGTCCATTGGATGTCCATTTAATGTCCCTGGACATCTGTACATATTTTGTACCTAAAATGGATATCCATCGGATGTTGGGTGTTATCTGGGTTATGATTTCTAATTAAAATGGACCTATTAAAAGTGCTAACTCCTTTGAATAAATAATTTTGTATTTTAGTATATCTTCTATTTTAAATATTTTTATCATCAAAATGTTTTAGTTTGAGGGCGCGTTGTTATTTTCAGATCTAGCATACTTAATTGTCACAGAAAAATTTCACTCGTTTGGGTTTTAGCTGCTTGGGTACGAAAATCAAAGCCTTTCAATATTCATATAGGTACGTAATAATGATCAAGTAAACAAAATAAAGGTGTACATATTGTGAACTTAAAGTACTGGCTGGATGAACGGTAACATAATATACATAATTTTAGTTGAAAGAGAGAGAAAGATCAAATAAATATCTTCAAGGTTGAAGGCGCATGGGAAAAAGTCCCATTTTGGTTGATATTACCACACATTTACGGTTTCACAACGTTCCCGAAACGGTCTCGGGACGTAAATTAACAGTTCCGAGGACGATCCAGGCACGTAAACCTTACTGCAAAATCATTCCCCATTTTGGTAACAACGTGGTGAAGAAACGGTGCCTAAACGGTTCCCGATACTAGTAACGCCAACTTTAAAGTTCTCTTTGTAGTCGAGGATACGTAGCGGCGACTAAAATTGCTGGTTGGGTTATTGAATGCCGGTTCTAGAAATTCATGTACCGATTCATGGAAAATTTCAATGGCCGAGTCTATCGAAAATATTAATATAATTGCCTTGTTATTTATATTTTTATTTATATTTATCCTGTTATGACTTTGGTTCAAAAAGTTGGAAGTTCAAGACTAGAAGCGACTACTGGCAACGCCAGTTCTGTAAGACAGGCGGAACACGCATGTCAACGCGCCCATCAAACTTGATCATCATATTAGTTAGAGGCAGACGGATAGATAAACGAGTTGCACCCATGCGCATTTCTTCCTTATTTTGGTCAAGTGAATGACAGGTTTAGAAAGAAATACGGGTCATTTTTACGCCACATGCATCCCTATCATGACCCCCTCGAGCAGCTCACTATCCTCCTCTCCTTGTCATTGCCAAATTATTGACTATTACAAAACCTAGAAACTACACGTCGCACTTCATATGATTTGTAACAATATTTTCAACAAATTGCCGGTAAAGTTTTGTTTGAACTTTTTACGAAAACTGATTTTTTGGTCAAACTTTGACATCCTGTATCTCGAAAACTATAAGCATTGGCGGACCCTTGTTTCTATTATGTACCTTTTTTTTTAAATTTTAATGAGTACCTACTATTTATCCTAGAGGTTTGATTCCACTATTCAGAAACACCCTGTATAACCGGTTAACCGCCGTAGCGCTAGTAGTCATCAATGGCAACGGTTTCTGGGTGGGTTGGCCCGGCATCCATTTGGAAAACCCCAACGAGCCGATTCCAGAAAGCGATCCTGACGACATCATCCCCACTGCAAGACTTAAATCCGACAAAGTTATAGCAGTACAAATCGATCCGGCAGTCTTCGACTCTTACTACAATGGCTGTTGCAACCCTACGTTTTAGCGCTTGTTCCACTCCATGCCGGACCGAGCTAGTTTCAAAGGCGAACACTGGAAAAACTACGTGACAGCCAATAAACAGTTTGCCGAATGCACGTTAAGAGCTCTAAGACAATTACCGTGCAACATCCGCGAATCGCCGTTGATTTGGGTACATGACTACCATCTGATGCTGACATCTAACTGGATCAGACAATATGCCGATGAAGAAGGTATCCCTTGCAAGTTGGGCTTCTTCTTGTACATACCTTTTTTATCATGGGATATTTTCCGTCTGTTTCCTTGGTCCGACGAAATTTTACAGCGCATGCTTGCCTGCCACATGGTCGGCTTCCACATGATCGACTACTGTCTGCACTTTGTCAATTGTTGTCAGCGCAATTTGGGCTGTCGCGTCGACAGAAAGAACCTTTTGGTGGAGCACGGCGGCAGGACTGTTATGGTGCGCCCTTTACCCATCGGCATACCTTTCGAAAGATTCGTCGAGTTGGCCGAGCAAGCTCCGAGAGTGATTTCAACGAACCAAAAAATTATTTTAGGCGTAGATAAGTTAGATTATACCAAAGGTTTAGTGCACAGGCTGTTAGCGTTTGAGAAACTATTGAAAAAACATCCTGAACACTTGAAGAAGGTTTCGCTGTTGCAAATTGCCGTGCCGTCGAGGACGGATGCCAAGAAATATGTTAAATAAATTAATAAATAAATAGAAGACTTGAGCCCTAAACATCGTGAAGCTGTCCAAAAACTCATTGTATGATTGCGACCTCAACTTTGACTTGACTAAGTCCAAAAACGAGAGTATTATTTGAAGCGCTTGCGGATCCAGGTCTGGGAACATTTGGAGATAATGAGTGGTTCGCGGTGAGGTACCTGCAGCGGCTTCTACGGACATTGTGTTACCCATTAGGGGCTCTTGTGAGTACAAATCAGATTGTGTGCCCTTACTCAACACTTTGACTGCGTCTGGGTAGTGTAACAGAGTTACTATATTTTTCTTGGGAAATAAAAGAATCGGCGGCAACATCGCGCGCCGATCCGATTCCCTCTTCTCAATCGCCCGAGTGGGGCATCGACCGCGACCATAAATACGGCAGGAGACCGTCGATTCGGGGAGACCTCCGTTCGTCTCCACACCGACCGCGCGTACCAAGGTAAGGATGGTGGGGCTCTGGCTGATTCCGAGTCACACCATCAGTACCGCCGCCATAGCAGTCCCCGCTGCATCGCGTTCAATACCGTAGATACGGATAGTTATACCTGCAGGGTTCTTAATGGTTTTTAACACCCTTCCTCGGGCGGTCTTGGCTGTCTTCCAGGCCGTCTTCCTCTTCCATCCTACCTACATTTTACCTCGGGTTGTTTTTGGCTGTCTTCCATGCAACTCTCCCTTTTCCATCCTACCTACATTTTACCTCGGGTTGTTTTTGGCTGTCTTCCATGCAACTCTCCTTTTTCCATCCCTTCTAACCGCATTAGGTTTTCTGCAGGCCGAAACAAATGCTATTTACGGGGGTTGGTGTGTAAGGCCGATTTTTAATTGATACCGTTACCGTCCTAGCTTGACCGCTACCGTTAATTCGTCATTTTCACTCAAGTACTCGCACACACTCTCACGTCTCTCACCTCTCTCTCTTTCTCTCTGCAATTTATTCAATGCCTTTTTGGGTTTATATAGGAAATTAGGGTTTTGAGGGTACTCTGTTGTTAATACATGGGAATTTAAGTTGCACTAAAAACTTGTCTGTTTTATTCAATGACCTTTTATCCCGTTCCCTTTTTAGCACTATTTTCAGATCACTTTCTAAAAGCTTCTTGTTTGACCTCTGGGTTATTTTCTCCACTGTAATAAGCTACCTGGAGCAAGTGGACCCTCAGCCACTTTAATACTGAGGGTGGCGCCCGAGATTACCGATTAGACAATTAACCGCAACTAATTCAAGCCTATTAAAAACCGAAAGCACGTCACAGTAGGATAGGGAGGAGGCTGCGTTGGGCAAAGATTTACGATACAAAGCCTCTGGCCTTACTTGATCAAAAACTTACCCCTTAAGTGGTCCTGCATCGCATATGGGGTTGGTCAGATTTAAGGAGAATCCATTTCGTTCAGTTCAAGTGAATTTTCTTCCACACCTCACCTAACCCTGATTGGGTCCCCTTAAGAGGATCCAGCAGGAGCTCCCTTCTTTCGAGGAGCCTGGGCAACCGAGACTAGCTGATCCGTCGTATATCATTTTCTATTCTGGATCTATAGAAAAATAAATTTCCCATTGAAAATTTTGATGTGATGTAAATAGCAACTAGAACACTTTGTAGCGTTTATGTTTTAAAAATATATTTGGTAGTGATCTGAAAAGGGTCAAGTAGAATAAAACTGCATATTCGAAGGTTAATAAATACAAAATACAATCTTACATAAAGAACTAAATGTATACTAATGATTATATAAGGTCCGGCCTGATACATCACCTTCCACTTTTATTCAACTTTCAAAGAGATAGGAGTGAAATCAAATTATACCTGGAAACTCAGACTACCGTGGTTACTGCAGGCCTGTACGGTTTCAGATTCAGTATATTATGAACCCCCAAAGAAAGCCCTGTAGCATCCTCGACTATCTTATAGGAACTAAGATTAAGAACCTCAATGACCGTACAAGGTCCACGATGTTAATGTTTTTAGTCATAGGGATTTGTCACATTTAATTCAGTAAATATACGTGTTTTTCAAAAAAAATTGATTGGAGACGTTGGAAACTGTGTCCCGAATAGATCTTGTGATAAAAAAATCAACTTGCCCTCTTAAATTTTATTGAAAAACCCATATTATATTCACTGGACTAACTGGCCTGCGGCCTTAGCGACAAAAATTTATATTTTTTCCATTATTATAGAATAGGGAATATAAATAAATTTATATTATTATAGTATAGCTAAATAATAGTATATTATATACCTAGGTAGAGAAGTTGGTCCTTATATACCGAGCGCTTTTATAAACCGAGGCGCTCGCGCCGAGGTTTATAATGAGTGAGGTATATAATGACTTTCTCTACCGAGGAATATATAGAATTTTTTTTACTACTGCTAGTAGAAAATGAAAAATTTGTTTAAAATCTGTGCTCCAATTTTTTTTTTGAACGCCCTCTTGAAAGTGCTGCCCTCTATCAACAGCTTATGATAACTTCCTATGTACCTACAGAAACCTGTATTTTTTTTCAAATTGACGTATGGAAATGAAATTGAACCAATAGAAACATGACAATATCCTTGCGTCATGACGTCATTTTCATTATTAACCTAGGTATTTTTTCATTATTTTCATTATTCACCTAGGGAGAGAAATTCAATTTTTTCCTAGAAAAATAGATTGAATAATGACAATTTCTCAGGTTAGTAGTAAAAAAAATACAATACCTTTTTTATTTTTTGTCGTTTTTTTTTTTTTTATTTGGAAATTTGGAAGTGTTTCTCCCCCTTTTTTTTGGAGTTTCTTCCAAAACTGGCTTTTCTGTTTTCTGGATACGCAAAGATCCGAGTTGTTGTAACCGTTCTGCTGCCACATTCTTAAATGGTAAACCAGAACCTCCTGGCACTTTATGTAAGCTCAATCCAGAAGGTCCCGGTTGTGTTTCCCATTCTTTAGCTGGCGCTGCAGAAGAACATGACGTATCCTCTTCCTCAGTTGCAATGATTTCCTTGAAAGTGCTCCAAAACGATTGAATTAAACTATCCGCAGGAGAACTCAAAGGAGTTGCGATCTTGCTGGCTCTTATATTTGTGGAACGCCTGAAATTATTATTTTTAAATTAAATTCTAATTTAATTTAGAAAAGTATACTTACTTTCTTGATTGCACCACAGATCACCTAATACAGATACGAAAGTACGTATACTTGTCGTCGACGATATTCTGTGACGAAGCCGGGCCGCCAGCGCTCCGACGCATAGATAAAGATCGCCCGCGTCAGGACAATTGACGTGGCCGAGTGCGTGAGCATGTTCCAGCCTGTGTGTTTACATATTTTTGCGGGTAGAAAAAAAATATTTTTTGCTGTTTGTGAACCAATTAAAGAAATAATATTATATTATTGAGCTTCCGCATTTATATAATACATATGTTCAAAATACATTGATGTGGCATTGGTGCGGCCAGCCTATGTGTATCAAATTAATCTTGAACCACGAATTCGCAGCTCTTTCGCATCTGTATGTAAGTAATCTGTGATTGCACGTGCGGCTCCATGAACTGCATGCAGTAAAAAAGGGGCCAGGTCGATTCGGGAGCTTGTGATCCCGAAGCCTGCTCTAGAAACTAGAACTTTCAACAGTGTCAACCTCGTGTCAACTATCATGTTAGAACATACACTGCCCTCTAGCGCCAATCCAAAGAATTGATATATAAGTTGCACGAAAATATCCGACCTTAACGAAGCAGTAAAAGTAAAAATAAGAAATCAAAATAACCATTTCTTAAGTTTTAAGTTTTACTGATAAGTTTGTAGAGTGAACTATAAATGGCTTTACGGTCGGCCGTGTTTTAATATTTTACTGTTACTGCTACTGTTACTGATACTGACACTATAAATCCAGCTTAAGGCCGGTGTTACCCAACTCTATAATTCCTAATTTCTATTCTTATTTCATAAATTATAAGCTATCGATTTGGTCCTGTTACCCAGTTACCTAATTTTTTTTTCAGCCAACAAATATACAGAGTGGTCCATTGAAAAGTATCCACCTAGATTTACCGGTTTTTGTGAAATTTAAGAAAATAATGCTCGGACACGTGTATTTTGTTTCGGAGGGGGAAATATTCTCTGCATATTTTTAGCCCTGTAACCTTCAACCCCTAACGGGGGTGGGCTCCAACCCCTAACGGGGGTGGGCTCCAACCCCTAACGGGGGTGGGCTCCAACCCCTTAATCTTTAATGGAACGATGGGTCGAGTGATAGCTCGATTGAAAGGGCACGAAATTAGCTTTCCAATGGTACCCTGTTTGTCGGATTTTACTTCGACAGTTAATACGAAAACGACGCTAAGAGCCTCACCCCTGTATTTTTGGAATCAATAAAAGAAAGGACTTAAATTTCACTTATTTCGAGACAAAATAACTAGTAACAATATTTATTTGATGAATTCTCTTTATTAGCTTTCAATCATGGTCAGTTATTTAAGAATACGATGTTCTCGAAAACATAAACTGTTAATTTTTTTAGTATAACGTTAATTTAACAAGTTTTGATAATGTGACCCATTTACTTCCATACAATAATATAAATTTTGTTCAAATCTGTTTCGGACATTTTGCAGCACATCAGGTGTTATGCTTCTGCACCCAGCTATTATTCGCTGGCGAAGATCTTCTATAGAATCGGGTTGCGTGGCAAAACATTTATTTTTCAAGTGTCCCCACAAAAAATAGTCTAAAGGCGATAAATCGGGTGACCTGGCAGGCCATTCAATTGCGCCTCTTCTTCCAATCCACCGTCCAGGGAAACGTAAATTTAAAAAATCTCTAACAGCAGCAACGTAATGCGGAGGCGCTCCATCTTGTTGGAAATGAAGCCGAGCAACATTATGATTTAGGTCATCTTCTATTATTTCTGTTATCAAAGGGTCAATTGCATCCTCAAGCATGTTTAGGTACACTTCGCCAGTTAAATTACCAGGGATAAAAAGTGGTCCTACAATA